GAGAGAGAGAGAGAGAGAGAGAGAGAGAGAGAGATTGTATTTAAATGGGTGTGTATAATAACGATATACTGTAATACAACAAACCAATTAATATAAAAGTAAAGACAGAAATAATGCCAAATGTTGCCGTTTTGCCCAAAAATTCATAGGCAAATCCTCCGAATGGATATCCAATCAAAACGCCAATAGCCATACCTCCCAAAGTAAAGCCCATTATATTAGATCTGGTTTCTTGGTTGGGATACATATTGGCAATCATTGCCATCGCTTTTATAAAATCAAAATTACAGTAAATTACTCATAAACTGATTGAACGATTTGCAAATAGATTTACCCGAAACTGTGATTAAAGCCGAAGATATTCCTTGAATACAGCGGGGAATCAATAGCATAATGAAAGACTCGCCCATTGCGTAAACTATCATATTTTGTGTATAAGTAATAATTATAACTAATATAACTATAACTTATAGTTATTTAATTAATTGATTTAATTTAGTCTAAAAACTCACGCAATGACGAGAGAAGTAAAATAATTGATCCAAATATTTGTGTCTTTTCATAACCAAAGCGATTGATTAGAGGACTGACAAAGAAATTGCAGATCATTTGTACGAATGCTTTGGTCGACAATAGGAAACCGATTCTTCCGTTTTCGTCGTCAAAAACAGTGTTTGAATGCATGGAAATGATGTTATTGTAGATTCTGGTCATATCGCCGGTGTTGCTTGAATTGATCTCGATCAGACTTTTAAACAATGGCATCGATAGTGTGATCGTATCGTTGGAATCGGCGCTGATTTTGTTGAGATAATCGGGAATCACTGGCACTGAATCCGTCACAACAAACACATGTAAGAGATTCTGCGACACCGTATATAAGATATAGTCATCGGACACTTACCCACAGACGTAAGCAATAGATTATCAATAAGTATGGCTACATATACGAGGATTATTGAGCACTTGGGTGTACTCTGAAGCCATTCACACAATTTGTTAAATCTATTCATATTATGCAAAATATTTGATACGATTTCAAACATAATTAAAAACACTGTAATGTTTAGTGAAACTATTTTTTGGGATAATTTGATAGTTTCTTATCAAAAGAAGCTGAAAATTATTGTGAAAGATATCACTGTATATATGGTGTGTGTAATCCTTCTCCGCACTCAAAACCGCAAACATTTATTAATAAAAAGCAACTCAAAAACATTTCTATCACTTTTTTGTGTAAATTTTGGTAATATTATTATCAGCATTAAAACAGACACTGTTTAGCAAACAATACAAATCCAATGCATAAGGGATTAGCGTCTCATTCAATACATCACATTTCATAACAATCTTAAACACTACGGCTATTATTATATAATTCAATCATTTTATTATTGTTTACTTAATTTATTAATAATAAACTTATATTTATAATAAGATTCTGTTGACTTTCAACATAAAAATTTATATTTACAAAAATTGTAATTAAATAAATAAAAAAATTGCTCTAAAAAACATAATTGATTACAATTGATCATGTTTCAAGTAAATTACAACTTCATAAAACATATGTGTTTTTCTTGAACTCAACCCATTCGGGCGATTCCGTGTCCAACGACTTCTTAAATCGAGAAAATATTCTGTTTCTCGAGAAATGTGTCTCATTTTGAGAGCCATTTTTGGTGCGACCGGTTGTGCCGTTTGCCGACATCTGATTGAGTTCAATGTCGGGACTCCTGTTGATCGTAACCCTCGCCCACGACTGACGTTCAGCCGATCCGAAGATCTCGAAGAATATGGCGCCCAACAGATAGAAAGCCGCCGTCACGTAGAAAACGATATCCCATTTCTTACGCGTTTCCGACTATATGTGAAAAATATAAAGAATTAGATATCTATATGAAAATGACTATTAATGTAGTCAATACATTGTGTTCGGTGTCCAGAATCTGGCCGACAATAATGGGCGCTAAGAATCCCATAGAAGAGGCCAATGTGTTGGTTATGCCAAACACAGTGCCCGTGAATTCTGGCGCGTATTCCGGTATAA